CTAATTGCTCCTCCATGTAATCTAGTTTTACATTTGCATGTATTTCCATCTAAGTATCTATCATCATTGCATGAAGTACAATTTTTATAATTGTTCATGCATTCATAACAGAATGCGCTACAAGCTATTTTTTATATCTAATGGTTACTTGCGCATTCTTAAACTTCCATTTCAAAGTAATTTGGTTAGCATTAACAAGAACTATTATTAAGTTCTCTATGTTAAATAGAATTACAGGAAAGACAGTCATTCTGTTCTATTCCTTTACAGGTTTTACATTTGAAATGACATTCTTTAATTTATATTTAAATTACTTAGACAAGTTATCTCATTTTCTTTTTCAAAGTATTCTTGTGGACAATTACATCCTTTTATTGGATCAAGTATACGCATTGAATTTAATGGACAACTCAAACATTTATCTGGTTGAATATCACATGTCTCACATTTATATGAACATTCTAATAGATTATTAATAATTTTAATAATACTTTAACATTAAGCAATTCCAACTTCCTCATAATATCCATCTAAACATTTACAAGTATTGCCTTTCAAAATTCTAAGATTAAGATCGAAAGAGCACATAATACAACTTTCTGCATTATTATCAAAACATCTGTGACAAGAATAATGGCATTCTACTAATAATGAATAAAAATTACCTGCACATTGTAATTATCCAATATCATAATATTGTATTGGACAAACACAATATGATAATTCCATTAATCTATAATTTGTATCACATGTTAGACAATTAGATTAAAGTGGACCATAACATGTTTTACAGGATAAATCACATTTTTGACATTATTGTAAAAACCCATCATCAAATGTATTTGAATCAGTACAAAAGCATTCGAAGAAACTACCTGAGGATTAAGCTGTTCTACTCGAAGGACAATCTAAACATGCATCCTTTTCAGTACTGTTTGCACATGTTAAACAAGTATAATGACACTCTATTAATCACATTTAATTAAGTACTTTAACATTCTATATTATCAGTATTATCATCAAAATATGATTATTTACATAAACATTCTGCCAAAGGAGTTAATTCTCTATAAGAACTTTCTGAGCATTATGAACAATTTGTGGCTTCAACACCATAACAATTTCCGCATGTATAATGACAAACTATGTATAATTTATTAATGTACCTGCACAAACTTCTAAAGTACCACCAAAATCACTATAATTAAC